CTGGGGTCGCTGGACTGCTCAAAGTCATCGCTATGTTATGGAAGAAAGCAATCCCGCCCCACGCATTGTTCAAATCTTTGAACCCCAAGATTCCCTCATTGGCCCCGGACAAGATTGTCATCGCAAAGAGCCTGGAACCATGGGAAGTACCCTTCAGAGCTGCGTGGGTGAACAACTACGGCGCGGCTGGAAGTAACGCATCGCTTGTTGTCTGCGAAGGGCCTCGGAGGAGCTCTAGCAAAGCGTAAGTGTGAATCTCGCTCCTAGAAAGCTAAGCCTAACCTATCTGAATAGACCGACTCAGCTGCCTGCGGGTACCCACTATCCAATCATACTCTCAGCCCACACATTTGAGAGTCTGAAGGCTTACGCAGCTGTCCTTAAATCGTACATTAGCCAAGGAGATCTGAGCCTCTCGAGCCTTGCTTACACCCTATCGGAGCGGCGAAAGCGCCATTCGGTGGCCTGGATGACAACAGCTTGCGACATTGCCGGCTTACGCACCGAACTCTCCACGGACATCTCGTCATGCAGCATACCCCAACCTTCGAAGCGTATCGTGCTTGCATTCTCCGGCCAAAGCAAGCAGAATGTTGGTCTATCGAAAGCGGTTTACGAGTCAAATCCCAGGCTACGCTACTACCTCCAAGAGTGCGATCGAATCCTCGTCGCGCTTGGAACTCCATCGATCATCCCGGCTATCTTCCAGACCACCGTCATTACCGATCCAGTTCTGTTGCAGACAGGTACCATGGCGGTTCAATATGCTAGCGCTAGGTGTTGGATCGATGCTGGCGTGCAGCCCGCTTGCGTCATTGGACACAGCTTCGGAGAGTTGACAGCAATGGCCGTATCGGGTGTGCTCTCTCTTGAAGAGGCCCTCAAACTTGTCACTACCCGAGCCCAGCTCATGGTGACTAAATGGGGACCAGAGAGAGGTACTATGCTAGCAATATTTGCGCCGTACTCTGTTGTCGAACGTGTCATTGATGCAATCGGTGGTGAATCCCTAGAGATTGCTTGCTTCAATGCCACTAACAGCCACGTCGTAGTTGGTACCAAGATTGCGGTGACCAATGCGGAAAGACTGCTGGTTACTGACCCCTCGTTCAAGGGTGTCAGCAGTCGGAGAGTCGATGTAACTCATGGCTTCCATTCCGTCTTTACCGAGCCACTTCAGAACGACTTCATGGAGTTCTTGAAATCATTGGACTTCAGAGAAGCTTCTATTCCCATCGAGCCATGCACAAAGGTGCACACTTCATTGATCAATGCTGAGCATGTTGCATCACATCTTCGCCAACCGGTCTACTTCATGGACGCCATTCGGCGGATAGAAGAGCGCCTGGGAGGCTGCATCTGGCTTGAAGCAGGATTCGATTCATCCATTATCCCCATGATTAAGCGTGCGACAGCTGAACCGGAGATTCATTCATTTCTCAACATTAAGACGGCTGATGTTAGTCAACCTACCAACGTTCTCTCTCAAACTATCATTCACCTCTGGAAGGAAGGGATCGATATCACCCCATGGGCTTTCCTGTCTCCTTCCGAAGCTGGCTTAGAACCAGCATGGCTACCCCCCTATCAGTTTCAGAGAACCAAAGCTTGGCTCGAGAATGTTGATAGAGCTACTGAGCTTCAGCGGAGTTACGGAAGTCTTGGCTCGCAAAAGCTCGAGACCGCTTCTGTTCCGATCCCTGTTCGCTTGCTGCATCATGCTGAGTCTACTAGCAGTGCGAACAAGTTTGTTGTCAATAATTCGGCCAGCCGCTTTCGTGAGGTCATCAGTGGCCATGCAGTCCGTGGTCGGCCGCTTTGTCCCGCTTCCATGTACATGGAGTGTGCGGCTATGTCAGCTCAGATTCTGGGTGCAGACCTCGGATCTAAATCGCTAGCATTTGAGGACCTATCATTCGAATCACCGCTAGGCGTCGACCTGGATCGCAACGTCAATCTGACTCTCGAAAATATTGACAAAAACGGATGGAAGTTTGTTCTTTCGAGCTCTTCCGGGCAAGCAACCAGTTCCCACCGCTCAACTGTTCATGGCAGGGGTCGGATGGCTCTAGTAGAGAATCCTCGATTTTCTACATACAAGCGGCTCATAGCTGACCGCCTTGACTCAATTCGATCGAGTCCGAGCTCGGAGAAACTCAACGGCGGACGAGCCTATAAGCTGTTCTCAAAGGTTGTGGACTACGCCGACTTCTTCCACGGGATTCAAAGTATCGTCATTGACAACAACGAGGCACTAGCCGACATCCGTATGCCAGACAGTCATCTTGGAGGCAATGAAAGCGCAGTAACGAAGTATTGCGACACTGTGTCCATTGACGCGTTCATTCAAGTCTCCGGCCTTCTCATCAACAGCAGCAAAGTATGCCCACAGGGTCAGGTTTTCGTAGCTTCCGGCCTCGAAAGTGTCACGACGTCCAAACATTGCGACTTCGACACTCACAAGGAATGGGACGTCTATGCCATTTTCACTCTCATCGATGATGTGCATGCGACCGGCGACGTCTTCGTTTTGACCAAAGACGGCGAGGTAGCCATGACAGCTATCGGTGCCAAATTCCATCGTCTCGAAATCTCCAAGCTTGAGCGAACGCTTGACGCAGCCAATGGATCAAGATTAACCTCGAAATCGTGTTCATCTCTCTCTCTTCGCGAGAACTCTAGGCCCGCTATGCTCGAGAGCCCTCCGCCATTGACGCCCGATGGCGCTTCCAACTCATCAAGTGCTTCCTCGGTGGCTGGCGACGAAGCCAAAGAAACAGATGATCCGTTGAGGGCGATGATCTCCGCATATACTGGCGCACCAGCAGATTTCATTGCCTCAAACACTTGTATCGGTGATCTTGGTATCGATTCACTGGCGTCGGTCGAACTCTCGGACGAGATTAACGACCGTTTCGGGAAGATTGTGTCGCCTGGCGAGCTTCTAACGGTGAGCTTTGGTGCATTGAGCCAAACCATATTTTCTGGCGTCACCAAAGCCGACCGAAAGCAAGTCTCACCAGTAATCACGCCGACGGCTAGATCTCCCTCCCCGGTCTCTAAGACATCCAAAACCGGATTAATACCTCATTCAAGCCCGGAGGAAGGTGCCAAGGACTCTATTGGTAGGACTCGACGCGCGAAATTGTTCGAGCTTATTTCAGATCTTTGTGGCGTTGCTGTCAGCCATATCGAAGATCACCAACTTCTTCAGGACCTCGGCTTCGACTCTCTATCCACGACAGAACTCGTTTCCTGCCTATCTGAAGAGTTCAACGTCGATATCAATGGTATTGATAGCCTCCTTGACGTTTCTGTCAAGGATCTGATGCACTTGGCTGGACTTTCTCTAATGAAGTCAAGTATCACCCCACTTTCGAAGCCGTCAAACTCACCTGTGCTTGATCCACCCATACACCATTCTATCAGAACTGCCGAGATTACGGATCCGTTTCAATCTCTCTTGGAGGCAGAGTCTTCCTTTGAAGAGTATGCCCGGTCTTGCCAGTTTACAGAGTATCTAGCAAAGGTCTCTGCTCGTCAGGACGAGCTTCTTCTTGCTTACCTAATTGAAGCTTTCCAGAAGCTAGGTATTGATTTCAAGACCATTGCGCCGGGCCAGAAGATTCCCGATTTCGGATATCAGTCTAAGCACAGTAAGGTAGTGCACAGATACTACGAGATTCTTCAGAGGCATTGTGTTATCGAAAAGAAAGACTCCGGATATATCCGGTCATTTTGTTCACCCACCCTTCCTCCCAGCTCGTCCCAGCTTCTACGCCACCTCATCACCGACCACCCAAATTATCGTTGTGAGGCTGAACTCATGGCTCTCACCGGACCGAAGATTGCAGAATGCTTGATGGGTGTGGAGGACCCTGTTAAGCTGCTCTTTGGCACCAGCACGTCCCAGGAAATCGTTGGAAGCTTCTACACCCAAGCCCCTATGTTTGCCACTCTGACTGAGGTTCTTGTGGACTTCATGGTTCGATTAGTCAAGAAGGCAAATGGACCAGTTCGTATCCTCGAGGTTGGAGCCGGCATGGGAGGGACTACCAAGCGGCTTGGTGAAGCACTAGGTGCTCTCGGCCATTCCATTGAATATGTATTCACGGACATATCTTCAACCCTGGTCCGAAACGCTTCTAAGAAGTTCAAATACTCGTGGATGCAGTTCAGAACGCTTAACCTTGAAGTCGAACCGCCTACGGAAATGGTTGGCAGGTTCGACGTCGTCATTAGCACGAACTGTGTTCATGCAACCGCCAACAGAACTGAAACCTGTCGTCGTATCAAGCACATGCTCAATCCGCATGGTGTCTTGGTGCTCTCAGAAATCACTACGATCTTCGACTGGCACGAGGCTGTTTTTGGTTTGCTGGACGGTTGGTGGTTGGCGGTCGATGCCACACATGCCATTCAACCTGCAGCAGTCTGGATGAACTTCATGCATCAAGCTGGGTTTGCAAGCGCCACCTACTCTCAAAGCACAATGCCGGATTGCAATCTTCAGCGGCTACTTATAGCCTCTGTGAAGCAGTATCTGGAACCACAGCGTCACAGTGACTTGCCAACGTCTGGTGTTGACACAGTTGTTTACAAGGTCGTTGATGGTATTGAGATAGAAGCCGATGTCTACTTGCCGAACAGCCCTCCAATTAGCTCGATGCCTGTAGGTAAATGGCCCTCCGCACGCGTTGCTGTTCTGCACTAAACGTCTGGCAGCATTGATGATCCACGGAGGTGGCCACATGACACTTTCACGCAAAGCAATCAGACCAGCACAGACAAAGTTCTTGTTGTCGCACAACATTCTTCCCGTCAGCATAGACTATCGGTTGGTTCCAGAGGTGAATGTCATTGACGGACCGTTTTCCGACGTACGAGATGCATACGTTTGGATCCAGACAAAGCTCTCTGCTATCACATCTCAATACGGCATCTCGATAGACCAAACTCGCATAGTTCCGATTGGGTGGTCAACGGGTGCCCATCTCGCCATGAGGTAAGTATTGACTGTACGAAGTGCATGTGAGATATATACTAACTTCGTACCTCTACCTCTGCAGCCTTGCTTGGACTACCAAAGCGCTCGACATCCCGTCACCAGCCGCCATATTGGGCTTTTATGGCCCAACCGACTTTGAAACTGGGGCTCTGGAAAGGCATCAGGAAGAGCAGTCTTACGGAGAGTTCCCTGCCCGCAGAATGCGACTTGAGAAAATCATGCAGGCTCTGCCGCGGGCACCCGTGACGAACTATGGCACCATGATGGATGGTAGTCGATTGGGTTGGATCAAGCCCGGCGACCCACGCTCTGAGCTCATCTTCGCGGTTCTCAAGGAGGGCATCGGGCTAAACGTTCTGCTCTACGGCCTTTCTCCTAAGGCTCTGGCCCAAAAGCCTGACCCAGAGCTTGTCAGAGCGATTAGCCCAATGGCGCATGTGCGAGACGGCTCCTACAATGTCCCCACATTTGTCATTCATGGGCTACAGGATGAGATTGTACCGTTCAAGACAGCCGAATCGTTCGTAAAGGAGCTGGACAATTCTGGAGTTGAATGTGGCTTCTTACCGGTTCCTGGAGTGAAACACATCCATGATCTGCATCTCAAGCCGGGAAGCAGGGAGTGGAAAAGCCAAGTAGAACCAGGATATCTGTTCCTGTTCAAGCATCTAAAGATGTCCTTTTAGGTAGACTTATAGTCGAACATAGTCACTGATCTCTTGTCACTGCAACGAATGAATCACATATCCGGTAGAGTCGATCGCCCTTTCTGGTACCATGCATGCCCTCGCAAAGCAGAACCTGGTTGTATTTCGATAAGTTGCGTAGCCAACCATGCAGCGGAGCAAATCAGTAGGCGCTCTCGGTCCTAATGTCAATACCGAGGTTGAGAGTACAAGCAAAGGTGGCCATTGCGTCAAGAAGGGTGTCTCTTATCTTCGCACACCGCTTGCGATGTAGGTGCATACTATCCAGAGCTAGCATCGTATCTATTGCGGACCGAATGTAAAAACGTACACCTCACATGTCGGCGACACGAGAATTGGACCGAGGAACCGGCGAACGGGCAAATCAACACTCAACCTACTCCAAGAGTCTGGTGACATATGGTGCGGGGCATGGTGTACCGGGTACATGCAGCTAGTGTGCTACAAGAAAGTCTCAAAAGGTAGCTTATGGCCCACTACGTCTCATGGTCACGCCGACGTCCAATCCACCATTGTTATCCATCCTCCGGCCTTCAGAAATGAGCACAGCCATAATCTCCGAAACGAGCAACATGTCCCCGAAAGGCAAAACGAAGATCACTCGAGAGGAAGAAGATCAGATATGGTCTTGGAACGCTTCACTTCCGCCAACTCCTCACTTGACTATCACTCAAGTCTTCACCAAGCAAGTCAGCTGCTCCCCTGACGCGCCTGCGGTGGATGCACCAGACGGTACACTCACATACACGCAACTGGAAAACTACTCTACGCGTTTAGCCCAACATCTTCATACTATACTCGATGAAGCCACTGCCGGTGAAATCATCCCGATCTGTTTCGACAAATCCATCTGGCTAGTTGTCTGTATGATGGCTGTGTCGAAGGCGGGGATGGCGTACACGACGCTGGACCCTGGCAACCCAACGGAGCGGTTACATGCGTGCCTGGCCACTATAAGTCCTCGAGTAATGCTTGCCGAAGAAAAGTTCAACGAGAGGTTTCCGCGCGAAGTTGTCAGCAAGGTGGTCATCAATGTGCCAGAAGTTTGCAGCAGCGATTCTGAGAGTGGAATGATCGGAGTGATAGACCTGCCAGTCGGCCTTCCGAATGATCTCGCTTATGTGTGTTTCACATCAGGATCGACGGGACTACCTAAAGTGGTTCAGCATACGCAAAGCAGTGCGGTCTCTAATGTTATCCATGGTCATGGTTACGCAGCTAGTAGTCGCGTTCTTAACTTCGCCTCCCAGGCTTTTGCTGCGAGCATTGTCACGACTTTGAAGACGCTTTGTAACGGGGGTCTATTGATCCTACCACCAGAGCGAGAGCGCATGGGCGGTATAGCGAACTTCATCACCAGGAAGAAAATCACTCGGACCTTCCTTACACCAACGCTGCTGAACCTGCTGAAGCCAGAGGAAGTGGATTGCTTGCAGTTTTTGACCGTAGGGGGTGAGCCCGTAACTCAGCGACTCATCGATATTTGGGCACCGCAGGTGTCGCTTGTGGAGGCGATTGGCATGACGGAGGGCGTGGGTATTGCGAACGCCATCGATGTTAGCGGGAAGAAATGTAAAGCTCGCCAGTTTATGACGGGTTGCGCATGGATCGTTGACCAAGACGATGCGAATACACTAGCGCCGATCGGGGAAACGGGGGAACTTCTTTTTGAGGGACCAGCGCTATTTCAGGGATACCGCAACGACCCGGAAGCTAATACGAAGGCATTTATCGACGGGCCACCTGTATGGGCGAAAGCGAGGGGGGAGATGAGACCCAGAGTGATGTTTCGAACGGGAGATTTGGCAAAGTATATCGAAGATGGCGTTGTGCAGATTGTGGGAAGGAAAGATACGCGTGTCAAGTTACATGGGCAACGCTTTGAGTTGGGAGAGGTGGAGAAGTCGTTGTTGGACAGCCTCCCATCGGGTGTGACGGTCGCAGCGGAGATAGTCGAACCGGCAACCGGAACTGGGCCAATGCTCGTCGCTTTCATACACGGGCTTGCAACAGACTTCTCTCACGAAGTCAGGCAGTTGAGAGAGAGATTGGCGGACAGTCTTCCGGATCACATGATACCGCGCGGATTTGTAGAACTCAAAGAACGGCCGTTAAACCCGTCTGGCAAACTCGATCGAAAGCTACTGCGGAGTCAGGCTGCCAGGATGTCGTTGGTTGATCTGGTGAAGCATGTTGGCGCTCTAAGCAAGTCTGCGCCAGTGACATTGCAGGAGCGAACGATGCAACGTCTATGGGCCTCAGTGCTCGGCCTTCCTGTAGAGTACATCGGTTTGCAGGACGATTTCTTCCATCTTGGCGGAGATTCCTTGCACTGTATCAAGCTCATCGCACAAGCACGGAAAGAGCAGGTCATTCTGTCAATCGAAGACATCCTGGTAAATCGAACTCTCCAGGCTATGAGTACATCGGCAAGGTTCGAGGTATGCGCTCAGTCGACTACGCTAGGCGGTGAATATACAGCGCACACGATAGAGACAGTCGCACCGGAGATCTCACAAGATGATGTCGACGCTGTTGCTCTGGCGACGGACTGGCAGGCCTGGTGTGTCGGGCAGGGTCTGCTCAAGTCACATGGCTGGCATGACTACATGATCTTCAGGTTTCCCAAAACACTGGATGTTGGAAGGTTGCAACGCGCTTGTCAACAGCTCATAAACCAACACGCCCTCCTACGGACGGTGTTCGTAGTGAAAGCAAGACAAACTTTCCAGGTCGTTCTCAAGGCCAAGGCTTTCCCCTTCCGGTTCACTGTGGAGCAGTCTAGTGACAGTCAGAATATGGACGGGCTTGTTAAGGAGATCATTCAGCAGGATATGAAACGACACCGTCAACTCGGCGATACTTTGGTAGCTTTTACCCTTGTACATGATGCCACGACTAGCACAGCGCAACTGGTCCTTCGAATCTCCCACGCCCAGTACGACGCGCTCAGTCTCGACACATTGTGGCGCTCGCTCGAGGCTTTGTATTTTGACAGACCATTGGAAGTCATTCCTTTCACCGACTTCTGCGCAGAAGCAGTCTTAGCAAGCAGGAATTCTGAGACGTTCTGGAAGACAGCTCTGGCCAACAGCTCGATGAGCGAAGTTCGTGCTCACACTCGCCCTAGCGTGGACTGCCCTATCAACGGCGCCGTCAAGATTTCCGTTCCCTTGGTAGATCTGAAAACTTCGGGTTACACGAGCGCAACCGCTGTTCTTGCCTCATGGTCGATCGTGCTGTCGAAGCTTACGGGTCAGGACTCTGTCGTATTCGGGTGCATCATTTCTGGAAGACACATGATGATGCCCAACGTATCGGATATCCTCGGCCCATGCATGAACGTCATACCTTTGCGCACGGATGTCGTTTCAACCGCAAAAGCTTCTTCGCTTCTCGATGCGACTCAAAGCAACTATCTGAAGTCGCTGCAGCATGGCCATATTGGACACCATCACATCATAGAGAAGTGCACCAATTGGCCTCGATGGACACGATTCTCGACAGTCGTGAATCATCTCAGCTTCGGGTCGATCGAGCAGCCATTTCCAGAACTTGGCGGGTGCGCATTCGATGTGTACGAACCGGAGCATGACAAAGCCGACCTATGGCTACAAACATCTGCTCGCGACAACAAGCTAGAAGTCGAACTGAGATACTCGCAACAGGCTTTCTCGGAAGATCGGGTTAAAGCGGTGTTGAGCGGCTTCGTTCAAACTTACGAACAGCTGCCTCATTTGTTGGAACAGAAACTGTCAGACATCCTTGCTCAACTCGATCTGGCTGCATTCCAGCACAACCTGGTCAGCCCCCGACAAGCTAGGAAGCAGGCATCAAGGCCTGGGACAGAAGATACAAAGATCTTGGAGGAAGTAGTTTGTTCAGCTTGGGAGTCGGTGTTGGGATCAGACTTCAGGTCGTCTCCTGGTTTCACATACCAAACTCCATTCTACGAAATATGGGGCAACAGCATTGCTGCTGCCGCTCTTGCTTGTGAATACTCCAAGCGGGGATTTGCTACAAGTATTGAGGAATTGCTTGATTTCCCGTCTGTTGCAGAGACTATTGCTCTTCTCTCAACCCGCACAAAGGGCGATGCTGAGAAAGTCACTTAGCCTGCTGCACAACGAGCTTTTTGACATAGATAGTGCATTCATATCACAATAGACGTCGGCTTTTGATGAAACCTCGAGTATGAACCAATGTCGTGCTACAATGAGATGAAGATGTTTGCAGCCTGGAATGCGCAGCATGAGTCGTTCGGAAAAAAGGTGGCGTCCAATTTGGACTACTTACTGCGCCTGCATGAATAAACTGAGGACCAGGCGGATATCGAGAGGGCTTACTGAAACAAGTCCATCTGTATTCTTGCATCAAGAGTCCATGTATAGAGCAGAGTTGATGGAACCTCGACTGCAGACCTCATGAACTTCTCCGGCCATAGGGCTCAAATGGAAAAATCGCCGCAATGCCTGCCATGAGGATGTACAACGCGGCGCAAATATATATCGGGACAGCGGTTCCCGTCTTTGCCGCCAGTCAGCCCGAACCCAGCCATTCGTAGTCATCTCAAACATGACAGGTTCAGTGAAGAGCAGACTTACATCAGCGACCGTCGCAATAACGGCACTCAAGATTCCCATAACCCTGTTCCAGGCAATCGCGATCCCGTTGCCGGTACCTCTGTGCGCACTAGGCAGCACCTCCGGCGTATAAGCGTACAGCGTGCCATAGTAGATATTTAAACAGAAGTTGATGATGCATGTGAACGCCACATTCTGAACAGCAGTCCTGACCTGCGTGTACGCGAAGAAGAAAGCCATGGTGACCAATGCTCCAATAACCATGGTATATTTACGACCAAGGCGCGTATGACACATGTAGCCCGCTAGCACAGGTCCCCAAATGCCGCTAAAGTTCACAAGGGTGTAGTTGCGCCAAGTGATGTAGGGTGATGGTTCACCGAAGGCGGCGCCGCGGGATGAGAGGTAGGCGGGGAGGAAGACATTGTAGACTAAACGAAGGTGTACAAAGTCAGCGTATGTCTCACATGCAGTTCGCACAGAGACACTTACGGGGGTAGGCAAGGCCTATCAACGTCCACGAGAGCCAAATCAACGATGTGCTAATACCTATTCGTTTCGTGGAATACAGGCCGCGGAGGTGCATATTGATCTCTCCCAAGCCCCATTTACTCTGATTTCCACGTGCAGCGATACGATCTACGGTGCCACAGTCTTGCATCTGGGTGACGGTGAGACTACAAGGTCGATTGTATGTGGTGGCAATGAATTGGAGGGTTTCGACGCACTCGGCGTCTTTACCTTCGCTGACAAGGAATTTGGGAGTCTCCTTGAGACGGATGATGGTGATGCGGAGAATAGACATTACAAAAACCAAGGATCCAGAAGCGTACCATACGTAGCGCCAACCTTGGTTGTTAGACTTTGTACAGGGGCCCGCCGTGGGATCGAGGGATGGGTCTGCGCAGCTAAAATTTGGAAGGAAGGCCCAGGCAAAAAAGCCAGCTACGAGCTGACCAATGCCTAGTCAGAGTGTTAGTACTTAGGCTTATAGATGCCATCCCTCGGAGAAGAAAACAACGGAAGATTGGGGATATATATACCCCACCAAGCTGCCATGAGCGTAAGCATCCACTGCCTATAGCTAGGCAGATACTCCAAGAACACTGCCGTATCCAACACCAAATTCCCTCCGGCGCCAAAAGCACTCAAACATACGAACAAGCCCAAGACTTCCCAATTTGGGCTTGCTCCAGCCACAATTGCAAAGATCGAGCAAATCAGCAAACTAACGTTAAACGCTGTCTTTCGGCCGATGATATCGGCCGATAAGCCCCAGAATAAGGCTCCCGTGAGCATTCCGACGTAAGCAGCGATGGTCAGGCCGTTTCGGTAGGAAGGCTTGAACTCAAGGGCGGCTTGCGCGGCGATGACGGACTGAATGAGTAGGATGAGGGAGTCAACGGCGTAGCCAAAACCATTCAGGACAAAGAGCTAAGCCTTATTAGAAATGCTCAAAGATGTCAGAGACACATCAAGTACCTTCCATTGATACGTCGTGAAACCGATCTGGGGACTGTAATCAGTACACACCCACAAGAGTCTTCTCTCAACAAGCTTACCTCATCGATCGCATTGTTAACCAGATGCATTTTGGCATTTAGCACAGGATCAGTGTGCTCGAGTGTTAAGCAGAGCCTACGAATAGTACTTAGTCCGAGATCTCAACCTGTGTAGGAGTCTTGCGAAAGTGAAGCTGCTTTGCTTCGCGGTCCCAGCTCTCCTTCCATGTTTCCAACACTACCCCCTCGCTCTGTACTAAACCCGAAACTCCATCTGCTAGTTCTTGCCAAGTTGTGTACTGTTGATTAGCTTCGCCGCCATATTCGCCATATCTGCCCCTTGGAATACCGTTCCCCCATTCTTCTCTTGAAGCTGGGCTATTAATAAGCTTCTTTACACGCTCTGTGTTTATGACTGTAAGCGTGTATTCAGTTTCCTTTTGGTAGCAGGAGAGAAGAAAAGTAGTAGCTGTACGACTCTGGTAGTTCGTTGGTAGGTCTAGTATGTTGAGCTGGGGATATTGGTTACTAAAGCGTACTGGTAGCTTCTTGTGTGCAGGTTTAGTTAGCTTTGGGTTAAAGAAGACGCGCAAGACTTCTTGTTCGCTACTACATTGTTAGAAGTAGCGCAAAACTTAGTTACTATAGCACTTACTCTTGAATACGCATGCCTTGTAGACTGCATAGATGCTGACGCTCAACGATAGTAAGACCCTCCCACCTAGTCGAGTCATTCCAGGCGAACTGGAACACGTACATTGCGCTGTACTGTCGGTCTTTTACAAAGGACCACAGGCATCTGTCTAGAGTCTAATTAGCTTGTGTTATGTTTTACTAAGGCGAATTAATAAACTTACAACTTGTCTTTGTACTGCACCAAAAGTCGTTCAGACTTGTCGCTATCATCCCAGCTTCGTGAATAGAGCGAACATTGCTAAACTCTGTGCCCTCTCGCAGCTGTTTCAGCGCTATCTGTAGCGTAAGAGGTTTTTGGTCTTCTAGTGTCTCGTCTCTGTCCTTATTTTCTGTACATAAACTACCGGTGTAGTGTAGAATGTCGTTGTCATGATTCTCGACTCCTGCAATGAAGGTACTATCATACAGCATTTGGCGATTAACAGGTAGAGCGAGAGCGAGATACCAGTCTTTAGGATCCTGTTTCAGAACAGTCGTCTTCGTAGTTTTCTCTTGCGCAGACTGTGCCTTTGTCTTGTTCTTGTTAGGTAGTTCTAGCGTTTCCGAAGCATCTGGCTGCAGTTTGCTTTTGCGGGGAGCCATTTCAAGTGACGTGTTGGGTGCGTTGAAGAGTTGATTAGAATCGTATGGTAGTGGTGTTGAACTGGGCAGAAAGAAGGGAGAGATTAGGAGGAAGAAGTCCTACTTATATAGTAGGCGAGTGACGCTAGTGTACGATTGCATAAGTGAATCAGGTGGTTGCATGTTTTACATGTCATGTGCGATGACCCAGAGATGACCCAGAGTGAGACGAGCTAATCACAACTTCCGCAACCTCAACGATGCAAACGATAAGATACTCTCACAAATGAGAGAACCCGCAAGTCAAAGATGCATATGTCATGTACTAGGCTAGTTTGCACATGTCTAGGTGAATTACTTAGACGCGGACTTTTTCTCCGCGTATTTCTCTATCTGCTTTCGATATTCATCCGCCTCCTTCCTTTCTTTGTCTGTCTCACCGTCAACCGCTTTAGACAGAGCTGTAAGGATCAAGTCCCGGAATGTTGCAGCGTCTATCAATTCGCATTTACGTCGCCCACTCAGCTGATCAGCACTGATGCATGCCTGCTTTACCCTCTTTACATTCCATAGCCAGTCAACCATTGGTTGTCTAGGAGATCTTCCTCCAGGCGGGACATCTTTGGGGAACGCTTCGAACAACTCCGCGAGTACGGCAGCTGGGACATGGCTAAGATAAGATTTTCTTCTCTCGTCCTCCTTCCTGGCTTGCCGTTCAATGTGATCCTCACCTTGAGTTATCGACTGTGCCATCTGTTCTAGCTGTGTCAAGTTCTTGAAGACGCCTTTTTCCCAGATTGCCATCTTGGGATCGTGAGATATGCAGACGGAGCGCAACCTATCAATTTTTTTATTTTCGTTGTTGCGCAACCTATTAATTTCCTTGTGGTCTTTTTTGCCACTCTCGTCTTCTGCATTGTCGCTACTCTGGCTATTATGTTCTTCTTCTTCTGTTTGCTGGCTGTAGCGAAATTGGGTGCCAGTCCCGTACAGGTTGGGGGCTCGGAATATCTCACCAAGAGGTATTGCTTCCGTGAGATCATCGAAATGACGTAGAGACTGCACTACACTCTCAAGCGTGTTCCATCTGTGGAGTTCTTCTCCCGTGGTTCTTACTGCATCGATACTCGAACTATGACCAGTGAAGTGAAGAAGCCGCATTGGCTGGAAAGACCACTCTGCGTTTTCCGATTCTGGTTCAGACTCCCACTGGCATGAATGCAAGGCTTTAGGCCACTGAATTTCGTCCGTAGAGATGAAGAGAACCTGTTGGGGAATGTCACCTCCAACTGGGGGCGGTTGGTAGCCTAGAATGTATGCTGGCCGGCGTGTGATGGGAAGGAAGGTGCGGCGATTGGCCAGCGGCAGAGTAGTGCTATGAAGAGGCATCTTCAAGTACCTATTGGGTTGATACGATGATGCGCCTCGAGGTGCTATGCGGACAACAATACCCTTGATGTCTGTAAGGTCGCGACATTCGTGTAACCATGACCATATAACGCGATCATCCCATGGTTCCTTCGACTTATCCACGTTTATGATGACCATGTCACCTAAGGGATGCAATTTGGAGGAACTCCCTAGAGGCAGCATATACGCTCTCCCATCCTTTTTAGAGAGTCGATTAAACTCCTGCCGAATGCGTTCCGCAGCCGCTTGCAGTATAGCCGTCTCACCTGCGTGAACAACTAGGTCGGTTTCCATATCTGCGTTTGATTTGTTGTACAGCTCGGCTGCTTCGATTCTATCAGTTTCTCCAGATGGTTCCAATGCTTTCTCTAGGTCGAGTTCATCTGCGTTGTTGCTTAACCATCGTCCGCGAACATTAGCTTCCCAACCCGCACGGGCGTCATCTAACGTCTTTAGAAGATGCTGTACAATTTCCAAAACTGCAGGTGCATGGCGGGCTTGGCAGTTTACACTGTATTGACATTCTTGGAAAGTGTCTGGGTTTCTCTGATCGCGGGCGTATAGGTTAAGATGGGAGTTTGCAGTATCTTCCCAGATAAGGTGGTCGAACTTTTCCCTTGGCTGGAATGCCGAAATGACGATGCCCTTTGACGTGCGACCTGCCTTATGTTGCACAAAGCTACATGTATGACTTTCCCCATCATTGAATTCCCAGGCAAAGTCGCCACCGTACGGTTGGTACGGCGTGGGCTTGAGTTGAATCGAACCTTCTGACTGCTTGCGGATGCTTGCAGTTTCCTTTATAAGCTGAAGGATGCTGTCTGCGCTATTGCCGTGATGTTCGTGACTGAAAATGTGTACATCGGACCCTTTTGAGTGGGCAGAATCCCTCTTGCAACGTGTTATGCTCTTACTCCACGGGTTGTGAAGCGTTGTGGTAGCCGTCGCCATCTGAGCTAGGAGACTACCCCACGTGTGTCGAGGCCATCTCAGTGCATAGAGATGAGCAGGCGTGTAGCTGATGTCCCACTCTGGTGTCCTTGTTCTAGCTATGCCTCTCGCCTCTTCCGGCACAGCATAGATAACGTTTGGCTCGTGCGGTAGTTGAATGAGGTACATCCCGCACTGCGACCATATGTTAGTATGAGTGAGGCCTGACTTGATGTCAAACAGCCGACCACGAGGTTGTTGTATGGCCCACTGATACCTTGCAAAATCATCGTAGTCATGATCTGTCTTGAAGCTGGCATCTTTAGTCTGCGGGAGTACTATGCCATCAGCGCGAGCGAAATCTAGTCCTTTAGAAGGTTAGCAGTAGACAACAATAGAACGCATAATTTACTACCTCGTACAAGAACAGCGTTGACTTTTTCAGCGGCGATGACAGTGCCAAGGTTAGCAAAGACGTCTCCTTCTACTATTCTCCCCCATGCAACAGCAAGACTATTAAGAGCGACAATGTGAGGCTTCTTCTTGGGATTTGTATTTGTGGAGTTATTAGCCATTGTAGATAGACGTGAATGCTTGTTAATGAAGTACTAATTGGGCTGTATTGACATACTGCGGGAAAGAGCCTTGACGATGCGGACTTTATACCGTGATTATTTTCTTCTACTAAAGCAAGCCGCAAGCAGCTTTGACTCGTAAAGCAAACTAAGACAGTAGATGGAAACAGATCTAAAAATGTCTTGATTGTCGTGATGTACGCAAAGCTGCAGACATTGTATCCATGTAGAACTTCGTCGTACCAAGCTAATCTGGCAGCGTGCAGTTTCTGCTAGAAACTGGTTTAGACTTTGTGCGCATGCAGCGTGATCTTACGCAATAGTACAATTATATTATAGCGGCTACGCTTTACGTCGCAACGGTAGCTTGCATGCAAGGTGTAGATGGAATTGTCGCACAGGGTTACCTACCTGGGTGTAATTACAGCAATCTTGACTAGCGCAACCCGTAGACGAGAGAAATTTTGAAGTTTGCCTTATTAGGAATATTGTTATACAGCTTGCATTTAGTAGTTTTACTCCGCTTTGTGTAACTCTAGCAAGAGACGACACGGCAAGCAGCGTTGTGGGCGTGCTGGACAAGATTGCGGCTTTCACAACTGGCTACACAAATGCAAGCTAGACGGCTTCTCTACCGCCCCACGCCCTTCTTATAAATCAATTTATCTAGCGTATAACTTGTCGTGACTACGCATACGAACACTGTCAGCTTGCCCTTCCGCAAGAACCGTATCTTACCCTCTCTATGCCCGATTCAAACAGTGGCAACAATACGCAGGGCCAGCAAGGGCCGTCTGAAGCTGAAATTAGCGCCATTATGAGAAAAGCGACTACATATCACCTGCAATGCATCATAATCCGGTACTTCGATCAAGGCTCCTCAGAGCGAAGCGCCATTATTAAAGTCCTTAACCATCTTCAATCGACTGTTCCTAATAGTCCAGCCAAGGGCGGGGTACAAGACATGGAGAGTACTATCCACGCTATTAACGAGCACATTGTACTGTATCTTATGGCGTACTACAATGACCATGCGAAGGATGTAGAGGACATACAACTTCGTGATAAACTTCGCGAGCTGTATAGTAAGTCTAAAACCCTAACCTATACGGCAACAATTATTGACAATTACAGAGGCACTGCAGAAGGCTGAGCTAGATATAGTGAAGCAACGAAAGCGGATCGATACGAAAGCGGCCATCGAAAAACTCAAGGCGTGCACGGGTGCCGTGGCGGCAGGCAGCGACCAGGCACCAGCCAGCGACCAGGCACCAGTCACTTCTGCCGTCGCAGCTACCCCTAATATACCGCTACAAAGCAGCAATATGATGGCAGGAGAGAAGCGCAAGTTAACCTCATCGTCTCCAAAACAGGCAAAATTCAGCTGGTCTTACAAGAGCAACAAAGTAGAGAAGGCTGGCTCTGATGAGGTCACCAGGCACAGCGGGGACGTTCCCATGGTCGATGCTCCTCCAGAAGAAGAAGATACAACACTATATGCTGCCACGGACGAGGACGATACCATGATCGATGCTACAGACGACGAGCACGCCGGAAAGAACTGCATCGACTCTGCAGCTACCTTGCCGGACTGGAAATGCACAGGCGAGGTTCCAGAATCACCACAGTGATGATGCTAAAGGTGAGGTGTCGTCAAAAGAAGAGGATAATGCTAGTGGTCGGAGGAAGCGGACAGAAGCAGCGATCAACGTTGAAAGCTTGGCTAGAGCGTTGGAGTGAGCAATTGAATATCCATAGTAGCCGAAGTCTCTGCACATCTCCTTCATACGAATTTCAAAGCTACCTATAGCCTTGGCCTTAACTATACTCGGCCCGTACTGCCTCTTCATCCTAGTCTGTGTGAAGAAAGGCGAGCTAGTTGTGGGTCGCTGGATGTACGTTTTGTCGGTTCCAATCTAGCAAGATGATCCCAGCACCTGCTCCATCGCTACGCACAGCAGCGTAGACCCTTGGCGTTGTGGCACCAAGAAGTGCAACCATTATGGGTAGATTCTTTTTTTCTACACGTACATTTCGATGTACATCTGCGCCCACAGGTACAGTATAGTAGATTGCTGTTTTTCAGCTCCGCTGCAAACTCCATCACGCAATTGGCATGCTCGGGGACTAGACTAGGAAGCGTGTCGAGAACTTGGGTCAGTTGCCTAGGAACTGGTTCGTTGGTCGAGTTGTACTGTGGGATGATAAATCGGAGCTGCTCGAGAACTGAGGGTACACTGTCTCTAGTCCATTCCATTCCACCCATTGCTAGCGAGTCTTTACCGGTGAGTACGAAATGAGGAACAAAATAACCAGGCCTCATGATCAACATGTCCCCAGGACGAAGTAGCACTGCGCGGAAGAGGTCTACAGGGGGGGTCCAAGCATCCCCCTCTTTTCCAAACTTGTTTGCTTCTAGTTCAGTTACACGGCGAGTGGGTACAAACCACAGCTTGAAGCCAGTAACTACTTGGACCCAGGTTCCGTCAAGCACGTCCATATGGTAGCCAGAAGCCGCACCCCGTTCTCCGAGGAGAAGAAATGCGAGACAGGATTCCAGATCGACATGTTGCAGTTCTGATGTGGAACGGCGCTTAACATGCTCTTTTCCAAGGTCTCTGGATCCTGGCTGATGATGGGCATCGATTCTCTTGACAGCGCGATGCAGCAGACGAAGGTTGAGGTCATCGAGCAGTACAGGACGACGATGCAGTTCGAGCTTGGATCCTGAAATGTCTAGAAAGTTGTAGGGAGGGGTGCCCGCATCAAGCAACGTTGGAAGCGACGCAGTGCTGCCTCGCTGTTCAAGACGATTGCAGACTTCCGGGATAGACATATAAGGCTCGTTGCTCATATCACGCGAGTACGGCTGATACTCCAACTTCGCATGCGTCCATGCTTGAAGCTCTGTGACTAGGTCGCTCACAGTCGGCAGCCTTGCCTGCTCCTCCCTTGGTATATAGATACACGGGATATCCGGAAGGCCAGCAGCCCTATCGGTAGCTGTTCGAAGCTGCTGTGCGGAAGCACACAGAACTTGTGCCGCTTCAGTTTCCTGTGGCTGGGTGAGCTCCAAGTCTTTGCCAAAAGTAGCCATGGACGCGTAGAGTCCATCGCCACCCTCATGGTGGTTATAGATGCGGATGTACTCATGGTAGTGTCTCATAAGAGGGTCCGACTTGTGTAGCCACGTGGGACAGTGCTCTACGACTTGAGCAATCTCTTTCGTGAGTTGGGCGACGAAGTCTGCATAAGGCGCATTACTGCCACTCCTGCTGTCAAGACTACGTCTTTCGTCCGTGATGTCGTCTGATTCCCGCGTGTCCCCATTGCTCGTCCCAGACGCTTGTCGACTCGCAATTCCCTGTTGTCTTGCACTCTCTGCGTTCGGCTCTACAGATACCGCGGCCAAAGCCTCACGATTTGTTTCCGTCGGCGCAGTGAGAAAAGCTACGGCCGTAGGCTGTGGGATGTTTAGGCAGGAGAGACAGCTACGCTCGTACGGGTTTCCATCCGGGGTAGGCGTTAGGAGACGACGAAATTCGGTGCTCGGCTTGTCTTTTCTGCACTTGGTGCACAATGACCTCCCCAACGTAGGATCCTTGATGAGCTTGTTGCGCCTCTCTCTGCATCGTGCGCTTCTGACCTCATTTCTCTTTATGCAATGGTCGCACTGTCGCTTCCCCGCCCGCTTGACACGGCGTCTGTTGCAGCTTTTGCAAAGTGATTCCTCGCAAGCCACGCACGTTGCAGCGGTCGTTCGATTGATCTCTCGCCCGCAGCAGGAACACAGCGGCATGACTGCAGGATGTGAAAGTAGTTGGAGTATGAGTAGCCCAGAAACTTAGTGTGTGAACGCAGAGAAGTCGGCGAGGGAATTAGTAGTGTGATCTGGTGAAGATTTGTCTTGGGTGTGTCCGCTGATCGTGTCAAGACGTTTAAGAATGTCGGGAAGAAGTAGGCGCGTGAAGTGGGCGCGTGAGGTGGGCGCGTGAGGTGGGCGCGTGAGGTGGGCGCATCAAACAAGGGCTGTTGGGCGCGTCAGGGTTCACATGGGCACAGACCTCGGTCAGCCCGAATCGGTTTAGCGCGAGACGACCGCCTGACGTTTGCATCAGACATGTTTCCTTCGCACTGTGACATTAACCACTCTAGCTCAACCTAAAAAGGCTCTTACATTTCTCCAAGCCGCCATGCCGAGAAACGATCAGGTACTGCTACTGCGGGACATACCAACGTCGGATCGCTTCTTCTGGAAAGACACGCACGAAGAACATGTGCAACTCTGGAACAAGGGAGCGAGTGAGCACATTGTCGCTGACCGAACCGCGGACGGTACTCAGAACATGTTCTTGGCCGCCAACGCCGTCACGATCATGGCTCTCAACGAATTCGTGGTTCACCAGGCCAATAGCAAAGCAACAGAGGAAGCGGAACGCCATGGAGGATACTTTGTCTTCTTTCCCAGTCAGGATCAGCTTAAAAAGGTGGGCGGAAAGAACGATGCACGGACGATAGAGGCTGCAGGGTAACTTGTTTGAAATACGAGAGTTGTGCTGCGCTGACTGGACACTAGACACGATTTCCCGGCCATAATGTTCATGGATTACAATTGGTGCGCTGAAAGCTCAGCTAGCTTCCAGGGAAGCAGTCACCGAGTACGATACCTTGCGTGCCATGGCCTCTGTAACCCGCCGGCATTGGACACGCCCGTCTACACATTCCAGTACAGCAGCAATGGTCATCAGCGAATCTTTCGTACCGATTCCTTCATCATTCTCGAGACATTGACAGCACATTATGTTCTCTTGGGCTCAGAGCTATCGAAAATCTTGGGAGAACCTGGAAAGGACGGCTGGTACAAAGGCCAGCGTGCGATCTGGTCTTCTGCTACAACGGACAAGAATGCACTCCTTCTACAAAAGCTAGACGAGTACAGGGTTGAGGGCATCGAAGACCTATACTATAAGATTCGCGAGCGCTGCCAAGAACCAGAGCCCGCGCCGCTCTCATTTCGAGAAGTTTGGACAACAGTGCCCCGCCCTAGAAACCCCGAGCCAGGCTGTCCGCTGGGATTGATTCCCAACATGGACGCCTCCAAAGCGGGGCCTACCTCCAGGCGTTTCCGCCCTCGCTTGGGGCAGGTCGAGAAGGACGCAGCTTGGACAGATGAGGCAGGCGAAGGCGAAAGCAATAACAGCGACTCAACATTGGAGGAACAATCCGCATACACGTAGTTACGTAGGGAATCTAGCATGGTAATCTAGTCAGACTTGCAAAGTGGCACCTGGTACCGTCTCCATCTTGTCGCGAAAAGAGACCGACGCTGGCGCCCTTTCTTCTTGAGACTGCTCAGGCCTTGCAAGGATGCATTCTACCCGAAGTATGAGAGGGCACAGGAGCTTGCTGGTGCTTGCAGTTTCTTCTTTGTAACAACCAGTCGGGACCTAATCCTCCTTGTTCTGTCATTTTTGACGCCACCTCGGTAACGGGGTAAAACACTAACGGGCTGATGCAGATGGCGACCTGGGCTGCCAGATGTGTCTCGGGTTCTTCCTACATGTCTGTCCGTGCAGCCTACGCGCCCAAGCCCCGGCGCATTCGCACTCGTGCGCTCCTCCGCACATTTGTCGACAAGCAGTATCAGAGGTGTGTTATAGGGCCCATGACCAGGGAAGGCGTGACCGGTGGGGCTCGCCTTCCAACCAAAGCCTATCCACCCACCACCCTCTACTTTGTCCAACACCAATCTTGGACATTTCAACAAGTAGTATATCGCATAATGCGCTCGTTCATGGAGGGATAATCGCCGTTGCGGTGGATCATCGCTCCTGCACGCGAGGTCTGTTTGCCATGTCCACAATCATGCCAAGCGGTTGCTGGCACAGGCGGCTTGTGTTTGTTCCTTCCTCCATTACATCACCTGGGCAGTCTCGCAGCAGTCTCTCACAACACCGCTTGTCCGCCGCTACAAATCCATTCTCTTGGCCGCCAACTAGACTGTGTGCATCAGCGCGCAACCTTTACTTACACGTCCAGCGCGGTGAGGGAGTCATCAAAGAACAGGCGTCTCTAGATCTCAGACAACTGCTCGGTTTGTGTCTGAGCTTGGACTGTCTCTTTGTCTTCGCGCAGTGATTGCGATTGCGTCATAAGCAAGCGCCACCATCTATATACGTTATAAGGACAGGCTTGTAAGGCGGCTGAATGAAGTATACACACGCCTTGTCAAGTGCAACAATGCCTCACAATGTGGTTGGTACTCGCTCAACTGATGCTGTCAAGGGAAATGAAGCGGATCGTGGAGATGGGAGATCGGCCAAAGGTATTGCAGACAGCATCCCGTACGTATCCTTCGTTATATCCATCCCATAGGTACATAGGCTTGATATTGACTCTGCTGCAGGCGCACATCAAACACAAAAAGATACAATGATTATGTTGAAGGAAATCACGCAGCGCTTGAAGAGGCTATCAACGGTGCTGAGTATGTAGATCCCTACTGTTTTCTTAGGCTCACACACTGGTATGCTAACCGTTTGTTTTTAGTAGAGCTCTATCGACTACAGTCTCGACAGTGCCTGATGTAGAGGACCCCATCGTTCAGGCTCTTGTGGCCTTCAGATCACTCTTGCTAGACCCACGGCCGACCTTCCATCTCCGTATGTTGCAAACAAGGAAGGATACGATCCTCAACGCAATAAGCGGCATGCTTGATCCAACAAGTGCCAAACCTATTATCGCACGGCTAGAATATCACACCCCAGAAGATATCAAGAGGTTGGTGTTTGATCATGCGGCCGATCAGCATTTTCAGGGTCTACAGGATAGACCTGGAGTGGGCAAGACAGGCTCTCCTGGCTACAAACAGCTGGAAAAGTGGCTATACGACCCACGAGCATTTCCGATACTGTCCTCTGTCTATGATAGGTCTACGATATGCCCAGCAGTACTTCCCGAAGTCTGCCGCATCAGCGAGTTCATCCGCGTCGGTGTGGGTCGGGCGTGGATACGACAGAGCACGTTCGTCTTTGTAGCCGAAGACTACGAAGGAGTGAGGCGCGAAACGTCATGGCTGCGCGCTTTCTTGGCTCACTTCCCCGGCCGCGCATCACCATTTGCGCTTCTCCACACCATCTGCCTCCCGTATTGGAGTTCATGCCCCTTTGCGGCCGATTCGAAGCTCGACATAGTTCGCGAATGCGCTTTGCAGGCGCCGTTGCGTACCCTGAAGCTGGGCATTCAGCAGAAGGATCTACGTGGGTATATCGACTCGCCAGTTTCAGACGCCAGCATCTGGGAATACATAGAGTTGAGCGGTCTTTGTAAGCTCTTTGACCAGGATATCAAAGAGGTCGTACTTGTCAAGGGAGTTCTAGAAGACTACCCAGGCTTCTGGATCACGGAAACCAGAGAGGATTGGGACTTGTGGACACGCAAGATCGGCGCGGCTTTACATAAAGGCTTTATGCATCGCAACCGCAAAACGCGGATCTACATCGATTGGGATTCGGACTGGCAAACGGCGAAGGACGACAGCGCCCTTTATCTTGAGCAAATCACCATGGAAACATACCAAACCCTACTTGGGGCATGTCCAAGCAATTATGGGGCTTGATTTTACGGCCCCTTCGTGTGCATCTGGGGAGGTTCGACGCTCTGCGCTGAGAAGACGACTATGGTCCACCGGGTGGTTGACGTCGATGTACCCTGGAATGGCTCGTATCTCGTATGAACGAATGCCTTGCCACCTTAGAAGTGTTGGAAGAAATAGGCAGGTCGCGTGATTTAGATATATCCTCCTCGTGGTTTTCAAAGACGAAAAAAATGATTCTTCGAACAATGAGATTCCACAGCCCCTTGATTTTTGTGTTGCAAGACAGTCTAAGCCTTGCCTCGGTGTAATCTGTGTCTGCGTGCTGAGATAACCTTGGAGCTGGTCAAGCGAGCACGAAGGCTGCATGTAACAGGATTAGAAGTCGGTCGTGAAACGCAGACGAAAATGAAAACCATAGCCAAGTGGAACCGCCTTCGCCCCCTGCAAAGCATCCACGGGTACTAAAGACTGCACATGTCGTTTGTACTTTTCGTGCGCATATTGCACGCTAGTGGAAGGCGAAAATAGTACATTGCATATAAAGTACCCCTCGCTGATACGTATTTGCACCTCTACCAAGACAGGCTGACCTTCGCAATCGCGCGACATTATGAATCCAGCACACAACAACAACAACAACAACAATGCGCTCGACACTCAGTTTTCCCAGTTACCTCACTCCGGCAGTGAGTTTGGCTCTAAGCTACAAGAATTATGTCTATACGTCTGGCCACGCCTCGAGACACATCCCGAAACAATGTCTCGTTATGCTAGCCAGCTTATTGAGCTTCTCAGCGATGCTGGAAACCTCGCAGTCGTCTCCCATGTTATACCCGAATTGCGGCCTGGTGCACCGGCGGTCGAGTGCTCACTCCAGCGGGATATTATGACAAGAATTGCCTGCGCTCGTTCTCGTCTCCACGACATCGACCAAACCGATCCGTCTACGTATTACAAGCAAGTTCCGCGCTACGAGGAGGAGCAACGCATCTTTCAGGAGGCAGAAATGTATCGAGCTAGTCTTCTAGTTCAGCACAGCGGTCACTTGTCCAACGAGCAAAAGGGCAGATTTAGAGCCTGGATTGATGCATGTCCAATCCGGGGACCAGGACCCACTCAGTACGTAGCCAGGTTCAAGCAAAATGCCTCGTTATACTGACATGCGCTCTAAAGCCCAGAGATCAGCCACCCGACTCTTGATAAGTGTTGAAGAGAGTATTAATGGCGTCAAGCATGGACGCGATAAAAATGGGTGCAGAGAGGGGAGCAGTTGCATCCATCACAAGGAAGGAGTTTCCTGGTGTACTTGGGATGCGATACTTTGGTCTTCCTATGTTGTCCCGTGGTAATTTGGTGACGCAACGCAGATGAGCGACTCACAACTTCCAAAATCTATGTGTACCTATCCAATCAGGTCCTCTTGAAAAGAAAAGTATCGTCAACACAAGAGCTTCGCTCTCTTCCCGTTAGCCTTAGCACCATACAAATACACACTTTCTCTATGCCCTAATTCCATGTTTTATTGCTCAGAGTTGGTGTCTATAGCAAGCGATGTCCCTGTGCACATGGTGATTTCGGGTACCTCCAAGACAGCTGAGGGGCAACTGATACGCGAGAAGATGTCCTTGAAGGAGGGGTATCGCAAATCCAAGACCTCTCTTCATGTCAAACCGTCACCTTTGGCTTCTACGCATCATTGCCTTTGCTCACGTCGTCATTCATGTCGAACAACTCAACCTGTGCGCCTTGGCTGACCACTTCCTGGGGCATGCTCCCGACCTCAGTAACAAGCCTCTCATTAAGCGCTTGAATGGTGGTGCGATACTCTCTAGGTTCTCGTAACATTGTAGCTGGGTAGGAGAAACTATTGACATCTAGGAAACGATGCAGCAATCCCCACAGCTCACTCCAGGCGTCATCGTGGCTGCGCTGGTACAAAAGGGGTCCTCGAGCTGCTACCAGATAGTCTGCAATGGCGCATCGGGTATGCAGCATACCAGACAAGTACGGTACACGAATGGAGCGTTCGGGGTTTTTAGCTCTCTTGTCGGTTTCAAGGTTGCTAGTGTAGATTTGGATTTGCTCGGCGGTAAGACTAACATCAGCTGTAGGGACTACGTAGAGTGGGCCCTGGAGGTCCAGGGTTTCCGGAAGCAGAGGATCGAAAAGTAGAAGCCGATGGGACGATTCGCGCGAATTGAGACGTCGCAATTGACTTGACGAGAGGGCTGGACCGTGAGAGGTGGTGGGCGCTTGCTTGGCGTAAGCATAGAGACACACTATTGGTGTCATGCTTGGTAGCTGACTAAGGAACTTGGGGGGAATGGTAGACCTTTGGAAGTTGTCGTATTCGACTTCTGTCCAACGGTACGAGAGAAGGGCAAAGTCTCCCGAGGGACCCATCGGGGGCAGCGCTACTACGAGGCCCGATCTGCGAAGAGCACATTGTTTCATAAGACCGTTGTAGAGTCGTTTCTGGAAGGTCTCGGGTGTTCTTCTGCTACTCAACGCAGCCAGTGGTGGTGAAGGTGTCGTACGAAGTGGCGCCTGAATGGCAAGCAACTCGGCCAACCTCTCATTAACCTTTTTTGACAAGTATGAAGTGAAGCCGTTGGCGCGCATCCGACGCGAGGACTCAAGTCGTGGTGCGGGATGTTGTTCGATGATCCGGGCGATCTGCTCGACCCACCTGCCCTCAGCGTCCATGAACATACCATAGGCCTGGAATCTACCGAAATCGGCTTCCTTGTCTTGGGTGGTGTAAAATTCTTCCGGAATGCGGCATTCTGGTATAAAGAGTAGATATGGGACGGCGGCGATTGTGCTTTTGTACTCGAATTCATACAGCAAAAAGTCAAACCTTGTTCATGTCAGCACAATCGTGTAGCGAATCAGGGGCTGCGCGAAAATACCTCTCGAAGGGTGTGAAGTAGTACCTGATTTCATCTCCCGTGCCAGTACGGCCAATAGATGCTCTGAGGTTGTTTGTAATGGCCGATCGATCGGTGCGGCCATCCTTCTTGTACTGTACGAGGAACTGCCGATTGTTCTTGACAATCTTGAAATCGGCGAGCCGCGGAGCAAGGTGCACGAAATCAAAGACGAGATCGGCTTGTGGGTTCGATAGAATGGCTCGATACATGTCCATAACGCCCAGGAACGCATTGTAATGCTGGCTAGTGGAGTGTGGTTCCAAGAAGGGCGCGAAACTCGTCACTTTGGCGGGGCGCCAGCCAGGGAAGCTCTGACCAGTCCATGGGTTCGCGTAGTCCCCGTGGCCATGTGCGCAGTCTACTATGCGCGCTACAGCGTCGCTTAATAGGGCTAATGGCATTCGATATGGTGAGCCCCAGAGGTTTAGAGGACCATTCTGGGAAGGGCTTGTTTGTGGTGTCCTTGTCGTGTTCAACTGGAAATACGTGTTTGACGCGTTCTTACCCAGCGGCGGGGCAGGTGGCATATGTGTGTTTGGTATTAGCTCGACAAAGGTTGGATCGGAACCCGAGACGCAAATGTAGAACGCGGCGGATTTGCTCTGCTCGATCGACGTAAGGTAGATCTGAGCAGAAGGGTCTTGTTCTGATGAGCTTTTGACGTCGAAGAGTACCAACTCCTTCACGTGCTCCTTGTCCCTTTTGTAACGAGTGAACCACTCGCGCGCTCGCCAAAACCGTTCGGCGTAGCTGTGAGGAGGAGAGATTGTGCCCTGGGGCTCGGTGCAATCGACGGCGCCGTCGACGGCGGCGAACTCGAAGGCGCGTATGATCCGCGCGGAGGGGTAAAGAACGGCAAAGATGTTGGCCTCGTGGTCAGCACCTTTGTTGCGCTTCAAGAGCGGCTCCAAAGCCCATAAGAGTGAACGGGGACCCATGGCGGCGATAGTTGGCGGAGTGATCGACGGCTTTCGCTTGCGGGCACTACTGTACTAAATTGGGGCCTAGCGCACGTTCATCTCAAGCTCGGCTACCGGTACTGGGCCCACACGCCCGTGCGGCCGAGAGAACGCGGTGGAGCCCACCCGACCCCGAACCCGCATCCCCGCAAACTCAACAGCCCTTTACTCTAGCTATGAAGCATTGGCTAGAATCGCGCGGTTAACGATGAACGGTGGTACCACCTGGGCATAGAACTGGCCAGACAGCTATTGACTCCTTGGCGGGGTTACTGCTGTATAGAGGTTATAGATGCCATACGTGCCTAGATACCTTGGTATCTTTGGGCGGTGTGCCCAGGTGTTCTATCAAGTTTTGTCAACGATTAAGGTCGTCTTTGATGTGGCTGTTGTTGAATGAACATGTTGAATGTAAACCTTCCACCATTTCCATTTGCCGAGCCACCTGGGCAGAGTAGGGTACCGGCGTACTCATAGACGCACTGCGAACGTCGTGCGCCTTGCCGCGCCGTAGAATGTCTGCGAGTGTCTTAGGCTGCTCTTCCAAGGGTTTCGTCTGGATTTGGCGAGCGCATTGGACTGGGAAATTGGTTGGATGGATGGTCTGCTGATGGGCGCGATGTGGGTGACCTTGGGGCTGGTGGACGAGCAAACCGGTATGCGCAAGATGAGACGACAAGGGTCTAGATGGAAGCTTCCTACATATAATAATGCTACAGCTACAGTTACCAGCACTCGTTTTCCTGGCCGTAGTAACACCTCTAGGCAGACCTAGCCAGGTGTATTCGCGATCACCCTTCTTATGGGAAAGAAAAGGCACGGTGGTCATCTAAAAATGACCCAAGGAGACGGGCGACTGTTGGCGGATTGGGATTAGGCCTGTGTGGGAAGCAGTATTCGCAATGATACTCTTCTGGGCTTATGGTCAAGATCGCCCCATTTCCATCTTGGTATACGTTCCGCGCTTGTCCACCTTTCGAGTCACCCTGGGCGCGCTGGTAGGCTACCTGCTCGAGACAGGGAACACAGATGGGATGCCCTTGTAATTGTTAGCATACTACTTGTTAGCTATAGTGGAAGACTGCCTAGGTACGTACCGCAGGGTACATCGACCAGTTCATAGGTTGGAACGCCTCCCATGCATATACCACAGTCAAGAATGTTGTCTATTCGAAGGGAACGTAGCTGTTGTAGGCCAGAAGCGAGATGCAGGGGGCAGTAAAGGCGATGATCGCGGTCTCGGTAAGCCTTGAAACACTCCTCACAGCACAGCTGCACAGTCAGTAATGAACTAGGCAGCTCTCTGACACAGACGTACACTCTTACACCCATCCAAAACAAACATGTCTAGACCTGTGGGAGTATTGTGTTCCGGAATGCAGCGGGAGACACATTCAAGAATCATGACATCGTCGTCTTGAACAGATGGTCTTCCTTTCCGACGTTTTCTTTCGCCCTCTTCGTCTCCACCGGTTTGCCTGAAACGTTTGGTGTCGGGCAGGCTCGCATGTAATGTATGCCGGCGCTTTGCATCTGCTCGCGCGCTTAGTGACTGGCCTTGGTGGTTGACTAGATCTTCTTCGGCCGTGATGGCCTTGCGATCGTACTTCTGATCGATGTAATGGGTCTACAATATGCATGAGCTTTGAGGGATCTGTGTCAAAGATGGTATCCTACCATGGCTTCATTAATCACACTATCAGTAGCCTGGAGCCACCATGAATTGGTTGCTATCAGCGTGACTGGTGCACCGAGATGCTCTGCTAGCAGGTATCGTGCCTGAGTGTGGACAGCGTTGAACGCACACCCATCTTCGATTATGTCTGCTACAATAACTCGAAGCTTATGTGACAACCCACTAGAAAGGCCACCGCAGTCACGATAGATTGCTGCCGCGTCTGAAGCTTGAGTCAGCTATTGTTTTCGTGAATTAAAGCGCTAGAGTTATGCATGTACCTTGAAGTGGTGCTGACCTAGAAGTTGTGCCAGACTGGTTGCGGAACGAGCTTCCCGGATAACGACTAGACCTTGACACTTGATAGCGCATCTTAGTATATGTTGTGCAAGCTTCCTTTCAAGACTGTAGACGGAGAATCGGGAGTTTTGGAGAAGGCGTTGTGGAAGTGAGGGCAAGTAGAGGTAGGCGTTGGTTGACTAGAAGCAATTCTTCTCTCAAGTACTCGCAGGTTGGAGAGGCAACTTCTGAGACATGTGAGATTCTCATACAAGTCGAGTGAACACACAGCTCTGACCAATTCTAATTGTCTTAGACTGTCTTGTAACAAAGGGCAAAGAATCAGGATAGCTAGATGCAATAGACTAACGTCTTACGGTCAGAAGACATGGGCAGACGCGGAAAAAAAATAGGTGCACCTCAATCTGAGGCGATGTACTCCTTTTAAGCAGCCGGATGCAGAGGTACACAAACCTCGACTGGCGCCATAGCAATTTGTACGAATGGATTGTTGTTTGCCATTCTTGAGGGTAGATCCTCACCGTTGCAGCAAACCTTGGAAAGCTAAGAATCTATCAATGCGCTGAATCACGATAGAGACAATTGGAACGCAGGGCTCATACCGCTCTAGACAAGGGTAATAGTAGAACAGGAACCATTTGCGACAAAACGAAAGCGAGGCAGACACGACAAGACATAGGCTAGACCGTGTTTTGAGCCATACATGCCGTTAAACATGATGCAGATTTGATTCACAATGTAGCAGAACTCAAGCTATAAGAGTACGACTCTTATTCTGCAAAATCCTCACCAGCAAGTGCTTACACAGAATCATCTCCTCCTGACCTACCACGACCGAATTGGCAAGATACAAACACATCTAGTTTGGCACGACAAAATACCACTCACAATACTATGGGCGACACTGTAGACGCTAACATGGACATGGGCATGGTTTACCTGCCTGCCCTCGTCTATAACCCGCAGAACGAAAACTTCGAGAAGAACGACGGTAGCGAGAGCAACGGCAGATATCTTTCAGACACAGAAGACGAGAACCCAGAGATGGGGGACGAGAACTCAGAGATGGAAGACGATGACGAAGAGATAGAAGACGATGACGAAGAGATGGAAGACGAAGACGAAGAGATGGAAGACGAAGAGATGGAGGACGATGACGAAGAGATGGAAGACGAAGAACTAGAGGAAGATATCGAGACTGATGATTCCTGGGACACAGAAGACGAGGACTTCATTGACGATAGCGAGAATGACGATTTCTCGGCTATGGACGATGAAGATTTTACCGACTCCGACTCCGACCTTGACGACGAGTCCGACTCTGGCTTCGACGACTTTGACGACTTTGACGACGCAATTGACAACGACGTCCTCTCAGAGGAGGAGATTGACTCTTGCTCTGTCTCTGACAGCGAGGTAGAAGATTTCGAATACAAATTGCGAAAGACCCACAACCCTAGACATATCAAAAGCCTGGATAGAAAGCTAGAGCACTATGATGAGGACACAGACAATATGCAAGGGGTTTCAGACGGCGATCATAACCTGACTGTTGCGTACGAGGGCGTACACGGCTACGTAGTAGCCGACGATGAGTCCATGGAGATTCTAAACGGATCGAGTAAGTCTCGCGTAATGGATGCGCTGCCCGCTACAACAGACTCGTATGCTGTGATCACTGCCCTGGATAGGAATGTCTCCAGTCATTCTGTCGTTGCCACTAGAGATCCGTTCGACGCCCCCATCATGGATGAGGAGCAAACAGCAAACTACCACTCGTGGTATGGTGCTGATCCTGACGATGATGCTCAGATACCTTTGGACCATGGTGAGCGGACAACGGCAGTCTTTGATAGTCTCTATCCGTATTTGGATGTATTGATTCACGCCCAGGTCGGGGGTGAGAGCAAGGTACTGGTTATATGCCCCTACAACTTCAGGGCCATTGGCGAAGTCCTACACGACATTGTCCAAGTTCATCGCCCTGGTCACGGAGGGTATGTCGAAGTACTGCACGCCAGCAACGGTAATGGGACGATGCCAGACGTGGCAACTGTCCGCGCTATGTTGAAAGCCCAAAAGAAGAGCATGGTATGGGACATGGTCGTGTGTTTTGGCTATCCTAGCAATGGACGCGCAGTCAAGGAGTGGCTTGAAGGGGTGACTGAGCTTGTGCGGTCTCAAGGTGTACATGCTAGGGGTCACATCATGCTTGAGCTCGGTGGTGGTGTTGGCGAACATTGGCAGGCGATTGCCAGCAGATACGATAGGTACTGCGCTAGTAGCGGCATCCGTCTGGTAAGCTTGAACTCAATGACGGGAAACCAAGCCACGGATCATCTTCGACTAGCAGCGCGTTGCCTGACGTTGGCTCGGGATCTAGCTCGAGTTCCAAAGCCGGGACTTTACAGCAAGACAATTGCTATTCTTCGCATCCAGGCGGGTGAATTGAAGACAAGGATGTCTTATGCTACTCAGGTTCTAGCACAACAGCGTGGACCTGCATACGGTGTGTTTATTCCAGACAGCGCTTCAGATAGCGACAGCTGGTGGGACTTGACTGGCGAACAGTGACTAGTTGAGCTGGACGTTGAGGTCGACGCGGTGTTGTGGAGAGTTTGGACATCTGGCGCAGACGAACACTGGGGTTGATCTTGGGCTAATCTGGGGTTGAATCTACCGTAGCGTTGATATAGATTGGTTATCTTTGGAATTATAATGTGCACTAACTACCTCTTTTTCAGTGAACCCCACGAATGGAGTTTAAACTATTCTCGTTCGGAACTACTTGTTTTTGATCGAACAGCTCCTTCACTGAGATAAACCATGCTCCGACACCACCAGATTTGGTGGCTCCATGGGTACCTGGGCAGTGTTTAGACGACATTGGATGCTCGTTGTAAACTAGCGCATATGTTCAATATTCGAAATTTGATGGTCTGCGAGGCGAAACGAGCAATGTGACGGCGGTGTAGGGATACGATAGTGGCGTCGGCGGCAACAAGGGCTAAGCTCGGAGGGTATGATGGGTACCATAGAATGAAATCCGAAGTGATTCCGAACGGAATAAAGACGCCCCGCTTACCCGGGCTTTGCCGGGGGGGGGGGGGGGGGGGGGGGGGGGGGGG